CATTTTGGGTCATAAATCCAAAAGTTCTTTGCCAATTATAAGTTTCACAAAAATGTGAAGAGTGGCGTCATGCAGTCACTTCAATGATTCACTGGTGTCAGCCACATGGAACCCTGTTGATTTTTTTTTTTGTTGTCCTTTTCTCCACATAAAGATCCCACCTGTCATTTCTTTCTTTTCCCAGATCCTGCCAGCTCTCTGCGTGTTGATCCACCACACTGATGTCAGCGTGAGTAGACCACATTTTTTCTTCCTCTTCAGGAGAACTTATTCAAAGTAGTCCTAAGAAGTTGTCCAGGTTGGAGAATGTATCCATTGGTTTCTTGTATTTGCTGCCGGTAGATCCTTGTAGACACCGTGTGGGCTCTGTCCTACCTGACGGACGCTGGGAATGAGCAGATCCAAATGGTCATCGACTCCGGCATCGTCCCTCATCTTGTACCCCTGCTCAGCCACCAGGAGGTCAAAGTTCAGGTATGAAGAGACACCAGGCATCCCACTGATTATGTTGATAACACTTCAGGCAAGGTAACTGGAGATGAAACAAAATAAAATGGTCACAACACAACACTTTCGCCACATCCAGACGGCTGCTCTGAGAGCTGTGGGAAACATCGTCACCGGCACAGATGAACAGACCCAGGTGGTGCTCAACTGTGACGCGCTCAGCCACTTCCCTGCACTCCTCACCCACCCGAAGGAGAAAATCAACAAGGTAAAGAGTCTTCCCCCTCCTACATGCGCCTGCGCCCCGTCTCCTGCAGGGTGTGTTGTCTGGAAGTGATGAAATCAGAGACTTGGTGCTAGAGTGAATGCTGTGTGAAAGCTTTAGACGGGAAAGATAGCCAACAATAGGGATTCGCAACCTGGAGGATGAAGACGACGACGACGACGACGAAGAAGAAGAATCGCTTGGGGGGCCAGTTGTAGTTAGTGAGACAGCCTGGGGGCTTTTAGGGGTTACGTTGTCTGTGTGCAAGCGATTTTGTGTGTGATATCATGGGTTGGCGGCCAGAGGGTGCTGATGGCCTTGCGTCTCTGCTGATATCGGAGTGCATCTGAGACCAGTCACTTAAAAATGAGGCCCACCTTGTGACCTGGACGATGATTAGAGCCTCAAAATACACCCTCGCCACTCCCACAGCACCCTGTCTCGACCGGAGGTCAAACTTTCTGTGTCGACCTCTGGATTCTGATCCAGCTCAGACCCCAAAACTTGTGAAACGTGATTGTTAAGGAAACCGACTGCTTTTTTCCCCCCTATTATCTTCGCAAAGGCTTAAATAAGCGAGTGCCACATCTCCAATTGACAGGGTTTCATAGTTGCTTCTTAGGTTGAAATAGAACCTGCATACACTTGAGTCACGACTCTACACTGACTGTACTTGTGTTTCTGGTCCTGTAGGAGGCAGTGTGGTTCCTGTCAAACATCACAGCAGGCAACCAGCAGCAGGTGCAGGCTGTCATTGACGCCAAGCTGGTTCCCATGATCATTCACCTGCTCGACAAGGTGCGTATCAGTCTTCATAAACTGTGCAAAGGACCTGCATATCCTGTATGATTGGTGAAAGATATATTGCTGACTTTGGATTCAATTTTAGGGTGACTTTGGAACTCAGAAGGAAGCAGCCTGGGCCATTAGCAACCTGACAATAAGTGGCAGGAAAGATCAGGTAAGAATCATCAAGAAAATCTGTTGGTTAAAATTAAATTCCAACTAAAAAACAACTTGGATTGATTCCAACTATGCAAACAAGTTTGGCCCACTTTTTCTGAGAATAAACTTCAAACGCCTATAAAACCTGAATTAGAACGTGTGATGAACGTCGTCGTCTCTCTGCAGGTGGCCCACCTCATCGAGAAGCAGGTGATCCCTCCGTTCTGCAACCTGCTCACGGTGAAGGATGCGCAGGTTGTGCAGGTTGTTCTCGACGGCCTCAGCAATATCCTAAAGATGGCCGACGATGAGGCCGAAACGATCGCAAACCTTATTGAGGAATGCGGCGGTAAGTCCCAATTATGTCAGCAATATTGAATCGTATTGATGGCAGTGATGTTTAGTTGAACACTGAAACATTTGTTCATTTCTAATGCGCAGGTTTGGAAAAAGTGGAGCAACTGCAGAATCATGAAAATGAAGACATCTACAAATTGGCTTACGAAATTATTGACCAGTTCTTCTCATCTGACGATGTAAGTTACAGTGAAAATGTTTAAAACCCTTTTTATAAGTAGATTTGTTCATCAGTTGTGGTTAAAAGCGTGTACTGATTTAGTACTTCAGTAATAAAGTAAATTCCGTCGCATTGATGACGGATGAACATATTGAAGATGATGATTGATGTCATGTGTACAGTCTGGATCTGTTCCAGACATTAAGAGTTATAGATTACACTGAGAACACTACAATAGATTCTGGCTTTTAAGGAAGAGTTCCTCATGTTCACAAATATTCACAGAACTTCACGGGCCACAAAGATGTCATTTGGTGTCCTATTCTGTGTGATTATTCATTTCGCTTGTTGCTCATCCAGATCGATGAAGACACCAGCCTGGTCCCGGAGGCCATCCAAGGTGGAACTTACGGCTTCAACTCCGCCAACGTGCCAGCCGAGGGATTCCAGTTCTAGACGGCATCTGGGGTATTCTGGAGTTTTGTTCACGATGCAGCACTCTGTTCAACATAAAAAAATTAGGAGAGAGAGAGCGAGAGAGAGCGAGAGTGTGAGAGATTTGATCCATTGTGCTTGGCTCGTGGGATCCATGGCTGCATCTTATCTGAGAGAAATGTGTGGATTTCATTTGGCATTCCAGGGGAACCAGCCCAAATGAAGTTTGAGATGGCGAGTGGATGCGAGTGAGAATGAGTGGCTACATGTTGCAAAAAAAGCAAAACATCTACATCGAATGCGTTGAGAGACATGCCGACATAACTGCTGTGTTATTGGAGCTGTCGCCTTTGGAAATCTACTTCAAACGTCAACAAAATAAACTCGATGTCTGCCCGGGGAGAACCAAGGACATCCAAAAATAAGAAAACAAGAGATCTTGAAATATTACAATCCAACAAAAAGGCAGAAATGAAAATAACTTAAATTATGAACTGAGATGAACCACGAAGCTCAACAATTCTACGGTCCTCCGACTAGAGAGGGCGCCACCCTGAGCCCCTCCCCCAATCGGCCACGCTATCAGACATGTGTGTGAATGGACCCATTGTGTACGAATGTCTGGACTCTGAGGAGCCAGGTTCATCTCCAACGAGACGCCCCGATAGGGCACCATCCTCTTCCCCCCCGCCCGCCCCCTCCTCGGTGGGCGGGGCCAGGAGTCTGGCTGTGCGTGTCGCATGTGCAAGAGAGTGGATGGATGAGTTATTGTGTGCTTGGCAGCGTGCGTGACTGGGAGTGTGCGAGACTGGGTGAGGAACGCATGCGGAGACGGGATAAAAATACCAACACGACATCTGAAGAGAAACAAAATTGCAACGACGAGGTTCGCAAATGTTTCAGGAAAAGAAATTCTGCCTTTTGAAAGAAGAGGCCGATCCGCAAATCCCTGAAAGGAAGAACTTTGGATGTGGAAGAAAAAAAAAATCATCATCACAAGGATAATTTTTTGTTTTTTTTGTTTTTGAATTATCGTTAAGTTAGTATTAATTGACACTGGACAATGCTAATGGCAGGTGTGGAGCAGCAGTGCATTGTATTAAGATGCATTTGGTGGCTTTTCGGGCTATATCTTTTTGGCTCCAGTGTGTTCCTTTTTATGATCCTTTTTTTTTAATTTTATTTTCAGCTTTTAGTTTTATTTGCTTCTGTAAAAGTGATTGACGACGACCATATTCCACCCTCCCAACACAACCCTAACCTACGCACCAGACATGGGCTCGATGCTGTGAAATTCTGACACCATCACGATCATCAACCTGTTCGTTCCCCTTGTGACACTCTCATTACTTTTTTTGTTCAATTTTACAGCAGAATCCCTGCTTCACGGTATTGTTGCCATAGCTTTGACTGATCACCAAGGGAGAAGAGAACAACGGCCCATTTCACGTAGGATTTTGAATCATAACATTTGCATGTACTAAACTATAGCACAGTAATTTTTTTAGGGTATTTTAGTTTCCTTAGGCTGTGGATACAGTGTAATTTTCATTTTAAGTAAAACTGTGCTTAAATGTTACATGTCTCCCCTTCCCTTACCCCTCACTAGTGTCAGGTTTGCTAAATAATCTATGATTTTGCACATATACTGCAAAGTGAGGCCTGAAGTCTTTCTGAGGGCGTGTTGGTCGGTTTCATAGGTTTTGACCCGCCAACAACCTTTAACAATATGAATCACTCAACCACAATCTTCGTTGTCTTTCTAGAGTAATCCAATGATGCTTTTTAGCGATACATGAGAAAGTAATGACTTTGTTTCGGGAGCAGCAGTAATGAATCTGCTGGTTTATCTCTGCTGGACAAAGAGGGGAATTAGCCTCCCTTTTTCTCAAGTTCAAAGGGTGTCCCACATGTCAGATTGGAGTTGTCCATAGTGGGTTCTCCTGAATAATAAATAACCCATGAACAAGTTTGCTGTACCTTGCAGTCCTTAGCCCCATACTTCTTTCCTCTTAAACCAGTTTAGGTGTACAAGCTTACCCCTTTCCATTTTTTTGTGTTAACTTCAAACACTGTAGTAAATGATTACACATTGTGCTCATAAACCTTTTGTTGAACATAGGGGTATTTTTTTGCAGCATTCCTTGTAAGCAAACATGTGGTTTCAAATCTAAAACTATGACATGGAAGGTAAAAAAAGGTGGATTATCCAAAAACCTTTTTTGGGAGATAGGCTACAAGATAGGTTGTCTTCGAGAAAATAAATAGTGAAACCCAAATCGAGAGACTGTGTGTGAGTGTGTGAAGTGTTGTGATTAATCCATTTGAGTTTATTTCTATTAATATTTTTGAGTTTGTATTCAAATAATAACGCCCCAGCGAGATTGGGCGGACAGACCAGGTTAGACGCATGCGCAGTGCAGGAAGTAAAACTGATGAGTTTGAGACTGTTGGAGATATGGCGATTAAGACTAGCGTAGAATGTTGAGGACATTCGCATCAACTAAAAATGATTTGAAATAGTGAAATGTCTTAATGAAGAGCGACTGGTTTAAACAAAACAAAGAATACGTTTTTCTAAAGCGTTTACTAAAGGAATTTAAATGTGCTCAAGTGTTACCGCTTATTCACCGGTTTGTACGACTTTACTGGGAACTTGAAGGCAGCGCCTTAAGGAACCGGAAATTAATAGCCGCGCTGGGCAGAAACATCCCTCCGTGCACACGGTGAGTGTCTTAACTACGGACTTCTCGCCCTCAACGTATTTCTGAATCGTTTACGCGCCGTCAACACGACGCAGAGGTTAAACTCGAAGGTGGGGAAGCGCTGGTGAGTGCGCGGCCGCAGCAGCTGTTAATGTCGCTCGCGGTGCGACGCGGACGTCAGTTCGCATTAAAGACGTGATGCGCGCGCCGTGCTGGTAGTTTGAGGTGGTTCTGGATTCTCAATCAACGCCCCGAGCCCACGAATCCACTTTGCTCGCGTCTTTGGTCATGCGTGAAAGAACTGCGGTTAACGGCTCTGACTAAGACAATACAGTACAATAAAAAAACACGTTAATGGAGAGCAAATCTGATTTTCTAAAAGTAAATGAAACCACAGCGGCTAAACATTCACAGTTCGCAGCAAATATTACAAATAAATAAAGCGTGTTTATGCACCAAGTGGATTTATTGACCAAATTAATGGATCATATAAATCCGGCCACAGCTGCATACTTATTAAACAATGTGATTGTCTGTAAGCATAAACGTATTATGTTTTTTGGGGTCAGTTGCACAACAGCCTGCCCTTCAGCACACATTGTGTGTGTGTCGGTGCTGGCAGGAGGCCTCCTATTGTCACTGCGGGGCTGAATGTAACCAGAGAAGAGCGAGCAGAGCTCCACACAACTGATCTGTGATCAGGCCTCAGCCGGCTTCTCTTTTCAGTGCAATGGACTTGAATGAGACAATCAGTGTTGTTAACAGGGAAGTGCCAATGATACTTTATACACCTGTAAAATGTAATGCAACACAACAGTTCTTCAACCAAACCTGCTGATGATCCACTCCAGCCCTCATGATGAAGTCCTCCAGGACAACAACACCGTTAACCTCAATAGATCCATTTCACACATTAATGTTTATCCAAAACTAGTTATTAACTTTGAAGGTAGAATGTTTGACAGAGCCGTTTTAATAGATCCAACATGCGCACCAACATTTGTCATTGATTAATAATATGCTTGATACTTTTCTTACAATGAATCACTTTGTCTATTAAAACAAGGGAAAAGGTCCAATCTTTCCCTATCTATAACCGACCAACAATCCAAAACACATTGTCTTATAGCACAAGATGAACATTTTAAAACCAAAGCGATGAAACCATCAGCTGTTAATTGACTCTCGGAACCCAACGACATTCAAGTATTCGCTCAATCACATTCACATTTCATCCATCCTGCTGTCCTGCCAGATCTTGTTCTGCCTAATCGCCATCGCCGGAGCCCCGGGCCTCTAGTCGCCACCATGGACAAACTAGAGGAGGACCTGACGTGCTCCGTGTGCTACGCTCTGTTCTCTGACCCGCGTGTGCTGCCGTGCTCTCACACCTTCTGTAAGGCCTGCCTGGACAACCTGCTCCGGCTGTCCACCAACTACTCCATCTGGCGTCCGCTGCGGCTGCCGCTCAAGTGCCCCAACTGCCGCAGCGTGGTCGAGCTGCCCCCGATGGGCGTGGACTCTCTGCCCACCAACGTGTCGCTGCGGGCCATCGTCGAGAAAGTAGGAGCGATGCCGTCCGCCTGTCACCCGCCGGGCCCAGATGCTCTTCCCGCTGTACGTACTTTGCCGCTAAAGTGTCTGCTCGTGTGCTGTCTCAGTACCAGAGCGACGGCGCGCCGCCACAGCCTTCCTGCCAGGAGCACCACAGGCAGCCTCTGAACATGTACTGCGTCCAGGATCGGCAGCTGATCTGCGGGCTGTGTCTGACTGTCGGGCAGCACCAGGGCCACCCCATAGACGACCTCCAGGCAGCTTTCATCAGGGAGAAACAGACGCCATCGCAACTGCTGGCCAGACTCTCTGAGCAGAGATGGGCACAGGTAGGGGGACTGTCAACCGGGCCAGCGCTTCGATCGGGGAGGGGGAAGCTCAGGCGGTGTGATCAGAAGATAAAAACGTGGCCTCGGCGGCTGCCGTCTGTCCCGCCGTCAGGTGTGTGAGCTGGGGGAGCAGCTGGAGCAGGAGAAGGCGCGCTGCGAGGGTCTGGTGAGGCAGGACCGGCAGGAGGTCAATCAGTTCTTCCAGACGCTGGAGGCGGTGCTGGCCAGGAAGAGACACGCCTACCTGGAGGCCCTGGAGAAAGCTGGCGCCGAGGTGTCCGGGGCTTACGACCCGCTCATACGCAGAGTGAAGGCCCTGCAGGTGTGTTCAGGCGCTCAGGCATACTTCTGCGTGTACGGGTAATCTAAAGAGGCGGGGCATTTTGGGAACGTTTCTGCAAGATCTCAATCGTTGAACCCGCGATGCTGGTGGCACCACAGCAATGTGCAGTCATCATGAGGTAAAAACATTTAGCCATATAGCCTATTTTGCGTCCTTAATAAGACTTCTCCGTGTTTGTTTGGTTTGCAAGTATGAACAATAAAACCAAAAAGCTCCAATCATCCAGCGTGTAACTGCCGTGTGTCCTGCAGGAAGAGCAGTTGGACCTGGTGTCCTTGGGTTCGTCCGTAGAGGAGGAGGACTCCCCGCTGGTCTTCCTGGAGCAGGTTCACATGTTCAGAGAGAGGGTGGAGGAGTTCATTAAAGCCCCGCTGCCCTCGGTGATAAACCTCTCCGTCACGCCGCGTGCAGCGGAGCACCTGCAGCAGCACTGGCCCGCCGTAACCATCGGGAGCCTGGAGGAGGCGCCCGTCCCGAAGGTGTGCTGCTGCTCCCGATGCGGCGCCGCGGAGGCCTGTGCACCAGCCGACGGCGAGGGGAGGGATCGGATCGACGGCCGGGCGCAGCACCGGCTGCGTGAGCTTCTGTTGCCGCTGGGGCTGCTGCTGCTGTTGCTGCTGGCAGCGGCGGCGTGGGCGGAGCCGGTCGGATTCCCGCTGCTCTCCCAGTCGAGTCAGCTGGTCCACGGGCTGAGCAGCGAGCTGATGACGTCGGTCTGTGAGACGGCGGGGTCGGCGTACGCGGTGCTGCAAGTCGCCGTCGATGGGTGGAGCTCTCGCCTCTGCTCAGTGGGCGAGGAGCTGGACGCCTTATTTAAAAGTCTGACGTCTCACTGAAACTGGAACCCGCAGCTGACAAAGCTTTACTTCTACACTCCCGCAGTAAAGGGAGAAATGCATCGGAAAGTAGCTTTTTAAAACCGCTGACATTATCCACATGAAAAATGTATGTTTGTTTGTTGTCTTCCTGTTAAACAGAGCACAAACTAAGCAAATTTTAAAATGCAGATCTGAATTTTTCTCTTAAGACTTCAAACATAACATCAGAGGAGACTCTCTCGAATGTAGAGAATCCTCAAATATGTAGATACAAATGTAGCCGTACATCCATCTTTCATCTTTGGTGTACAAAAACGTTTTAAACTCCTGAGTCACCTTTCCCATGATGCAGTGGGACATGTATTTTAACGAAGATGGGGGCAGCGTGTGGAAGCAGATACACGGCTCAGAGTGGCCACCTCGCCCGACCTAGAACCCTAATAGCCTGAAGGCAGTATACTGCAACTCCCCCAGGACCATAATGGGAGCCCCCCCCTTAAATATCATGTACAAGTATTACATATTCTGCTGCAAAAAGATAAGACATTGTGTTGCCCCTCTGTATTTTCTAAACTTTTTCTATTACTGGTATTTTAAAAACATAAACTTGTTCAAATGCTTTTAGTTTTGTGTATTATTTATGATGTTGCAGAATGTTTCATAGTGCTGCTGAGCGTAATTAGCTACATCTGTAGTGTGAAATATAAGGTGTCACATGACCTACTGTGGTAACATTTGCTCTGAATGCAGCCTTCTGAGAGTCGACCGCTGGAGCTTGTTTTACACTTTGTGGTTTAAGTTAATGTACATTGTTCATACCATTTTATTAGCAGAAATACGTTTTTACATCTGAAAGATGTTTGCATTGAGGAAAGGATCTTTGCAAGAAAAACATTTATTGGTTCGGATAGTAAAAAGTACATAGTAATAGAAAATAGCAGCGTTACATTATGACAATATGAAGAAAGAACAAATATTTACAGGATGAGAACAGTAAAGCAGCAAAGTGAGTCCCCTGAGGATTACGCGGTCACGGCTCCGTGCTCTTTGAACACGATGGTCTTGGGGTTGATTCCCACGCTCTTGGTGGTGTTGTGAGTTTTGTAGATGCCGATGAGACGATCAGCGATCTCGAACATGTTGTTCCTCAGGGAGATGATGATGAACTGAGCATTCTTTGTTTGCTCCTGCACAGAGACAAGGGAGGGAAAACCAAATGACTGATCTGGGAGTTGGGGGGGGGTGTAACAAGGTCTTAATGGAGTACAGACGAGCACTGCTGCAAAGTTGCTGTCAAATTCACCCCCAACAATCAAGTAAATATTTAACCCCAAACTGCGGACTCAGTGAATGATAACATGCTTCTTGTTTCATTTTGATCCACACTCCTGAAAACAAGTGATTTGTCTAAATTACCCCCCTCCCACCCTCTAATCCAGTGTTACGCCACAGCACAGATTACCTCAACCCTTATTGTTGACTACATAGCACCACCTTCCTATCAAATATGCACTTTGGCCTTAAAAGAGGGAGATCTGGATTTCAGTGAGCAGCTCGTCTCACACGCAGGTCAGTACTCACATAAATGTAACAGGCCACAATGGAGACGTTCTTGAAGTCGAGCGCGGCATCGATCTCATCCATGAAGTAGAGCGGGGTGGGCTTGTAGTGGTGCAGGGCAAACACCAAGGCCAAGGAGCTCAGGGTCTTCTCCCCTCCTGACAGGTTAAAGATCTTCTTCCAGCTCTTCTTCGGAGGACGCACACTAGAGAGGGAGGGGGGAACACAAACGACCAGAGCTTCACCAAAAGGACACGATTCAAAAAGAAGTGGCGAGGAGAGATCAACCGATGTGCCTTTGCGTCTTGTGGCAGTTGATCGGTCTGCTCTTCTACCTGAACATGATTCCCTCTGAGAAGGGGTCCAAACTGTCCACGAGCTCCAGCTCCGCGTCGCCACCCTGTGTGAGCATCTGGTAGTTCTCCTTCAGCTTGTTTGTGATCATGTTGAATCCGGTCATGAACTCGTTGAGGCGTTGTTTGCGCAGGTCCTCGTAGCCGCGTTTGAACTGGTCCCTCTCTGTGGTGATCTCGTCCAGCTGAGCCACACGCTGCAGGTACAGCTCCTCCTAAAAAACACACACATAGGAAATCATTGCTGTAAACTCCGTGGGAGATTCACCCATGACTAGTTTGGCCAGTAGGAGGCCCGTTCATACCTTCTTCTTGTACTCTGCAATGGCCCCCAGGTTGGGCTTCATCTGGGCACTCTTGGTCTCCAGGGTCATCATCTTGTTGATGATGACGTTGGGATTGGAGATTTGTGCGAGTTCGTGGGCCGTAAGCACAGGAAGTCCCTCGGCTGGCTCTCCCTCAACAGTGTGAAGGGACAACTTGCTGGCCTGAAGAATACAATGATAAGTATCAGCCTAAAGATCAATGTGGACACAACGATCAGTTACTTCCAACATTTCAATGCATTTGTTCTTCACTTAGGTTTGTTAAATACTTGCATTTACTTAAGACAAAACAAAAAGACAAATCCTGATGCAAGCAGAGCAGTGAAACTGCAAAATCAGAAGTTGATGAATTGTAAACAGTAAAGCAGAGCCCCTAAAATGACTTATTTAAACCTCATTAGTAGTGAACTACCACAAAACCATTTTCACAGTGAAGCTTTTATTGCTCGTTACCCCGTTGGACCAACTTTCAGTTACGTCACTTTGAGGAGGACAACGTTATCACTACAAAGATGTCCACACGCTTCACCGCCCACCTCTTTCTGCCAGTGCTTGATCTTGTTGCTGTGCTCGGACATGGTGGTCTCGATCTGTTCGACGCGCAGCCGGACGCTGAGGGACTCCTCCTGCATGGCGTGCTCCTGCTGCTGCAGGACCTTGATCTCCTTCAGCACCGCCTGGTACTGCTGCTGCACCTCGGGGAGCGTGGCCTGGAGGGGGACAGAAAAAAGGCCGTGGTGCTCAGCTCCTTTTGGCCTTGTGCTTAGAAGGCATCGAGGTCCTACAAAGCTGATAAATATAAAACGGTTCATCATAAGTATCAGTGAGCAATTATTATCAGTTGTGACATCATTTAGAGATGGTCCGGAGTTAGCAAGTATCCTGCCAGGCAAAGAAATGTAAATAGCAGATTTATGTGTTTATTTAGATAAAATCTGTTAACGGTTTTTTATTCCTTTGTGTCCTGTGTTTAATCAGCTCTTCTTTTTTTATTACAATGGTAACAGCGTGTGGTTAGCCGCAGTCCGAGCTCTGCACACCGCAAAAAGATCAATTGAGACTTTTGGATAAACTCGTAGGAAATGCAAATCTGAACCTCATACAATACGTAAATGAAGAGCGCTAACCTCCGCCTCCTGACAGGCCTTCATGACCTCCCCGGCCTCGTCTTCCAGTTTCTTCAGTTGCTCAGTGAGCTCAGTCATGGATTTGTCATTCTCCTCAATCTCACCCTCCACACGAGTCACACTCTCCTCACACTTCTTCAGGTTGCTGTGAAAGGGGACAAAAGATAAGATATTAGCCTCGGCCAGAGCGGCAGTGATTAATGAGAGTGTGTGAGCAACTGTCTCGTCTCCACGGTCACAAAGACCTCAGAAAGTTTTATGAAAACTGTAACACTCATGCAATACAATACAGCTAAATGCAAATCCAATATTCCAAAACAAGCCTTCAAAAAGAATTGGAGGAAATTAATAGCATCTCAAACGTGTATTTTAGGGTTAACATGATACAAATTCATCGCTTGAACACTTAACATAAATGGTTATATTACTGTTGCTAAAAAGGTATTTGAACCCCGACCTCATAGATATTCTCATGGCGCAGCGATGTCCTCGCTGAGTTCAAGTACATCAAAGCTACGGCTGTTTTCCTCCGTAGAGGTTTAATATAATTCAGCCGAAAGTGTTTGAACAACTCAAACGCACAACTACAGCGCGCATAGAAGCGTCCCCACCGGTCGGCTGTCTTTATGGCCACTCTGGCCTTGGTTATGGTGGAGGAGCAGTCATCCAGGCCCCTGTTGACCGTGTCCAGCTTGTCCTGCTGAGCCTTTAGCTTGTGGCTGTTGATGTCTACGATCAGGGTGTGGAGCCTTTTCACCTCGTTCTCCACCTTCCCAGCCGTGCTGGACGCCGCGTCATAGTCTGAGCGAGGACGAGCAGGTTGTGAAGGCAGAAAGAGGATATTCATGTTGGACATTCAATGTCGGATTGATTGAAATTGAACTTTTTCAACGTATTTAACAGGAGGAACCCACCTTTCTTGAAGGCCTCCAGGCTCTTTTCCATCTGTTTCTGTTTTGCCTTGTCTGGGGCGGCAGCCAGCACGTTGGCCTCAAGTTCCTTGATCTGGAGCTTCAAGTGAGCTTCCTGATCAGCGAGACTCTGAAGGAAGGGGGGAAAAATGTTGCGTCACTAAAAACCGGCACATCTTATGGACGGCTATGGAATATTCAGGGTTTCATATTTGGATTGCCAAGCGAGCGAGACAGAAGCACGGTTGAATGAAAAGGGAAGATGTGTATTTGCCGTACGGCCATGCTGTTGGCATATTTCTCCTGGGTGTTCTTCATGTCTCTGAGCGCTCGTCGCAGCTGCTGGACGTTCTCTTCCAGCTGCAACTTCTTCTCCTGGCAGTCGTGCAGCTTGGACACTTTCTCATTCAGCTTGCTCTCCATACGGTCGAGCTGCAGGAAAAACATGAAGATCATCACGTCTCATATCCGATTAGCCTGCGTCGTCTAATGACGGGAGCGGGAATTAAAGGCCTATTTTACAAAGCTGGCTTCACCCACTTAGATCGGTTTGACCAAATACTAGTGTCACTGTAGAAAAAGTAGTTTTATACTAGTATAAGATGAACAGAATTTACATGAATGTATGCAAACACATAACATATTTCTGTATATATAATCATTCATTTAATGTCAGCTACTGAGGATTCTTGTTTTTGTTTTATTACTATTTATAACTGATTTTTAACAGTCTGTGAACACTTTGGTGCTGTAATCCTGGAATTTCCCCACTACGGAACTAACAAGCTAACGAGCAGCTTATTTTTACCTTCAATCAGAGTTATTCTATTACTACCCTGTGGTGCTTAGACAGTATTCCTAAATGCTATGTTCATTTTTATAAAATCATATTAAATTTGAGTGTAATTACTACATTACGCTCCTCTCCAGCTGCCCCTGTACCATTTGGCCATTTCTACAAAGCAGGCAAAGGAGTAAAAACTTTTTTGTGGCCAGTTCAAAATAGTTCTCTACTCTAACACGCGATAAAACTGACCTCCTCCTGAGAGACCTCGGCACCAATAGAGGAGCCCATCCTGCCCTTCAACGCTCTTCCTCCTCCGGTCATGGTTCCTGAGAAGCACAATTACACCACAGAGAGGGAAAATAAATAAATAAATAAATAATCACATTTGTAAAACTAGAATGCCAACAGAAAAGAAAAGAAAAGATCTTCCAGGTACAGTTATGTAAATATGGGCCACCTACCAGCCATCTCGATGATCTGCCCCTTGAGGGTGACCACTCTCCAGCGCCTCTCTTTCTGGAAGGCCATCCTGGTGGCCTGCTCCATGTCCTCGGCCACCA